TTTTCCGGCTTCGACAGACATGGCGTGCATAAGAGACGTATACCGGTTGCTGAGGGACGTCCACCCATTGCGCCCGTTGCCGGCTGTCCTTCCTCTTCGGCAATGCTTTCTTCCGTTGGCTGTTGCGATGGCCTGCTTGCACTTCTTGTCGAGATCGCTTGCTGCATTGTGCCACTTGCAAGAAGTAGTATATTTGCCTCTTGCTCTTCATCTCGGTTGTGAAGCCCTGGGCGCGACGGGTGCGACCTTGGAGAGTCCCGTTGGCAGGGTCTTCGGTCTCCCTCTTGCCTGTGCAGACGAAAGGTGGTCTGCAGTACGAGACGCCATGGTGGACGCGGCAAGGCTCGATGCCCTGGTCCTTTGTCTCGACTCTGTGGAGTTGTCCTCGGATTTCCGCCTGATGAACTCACAGCTTATAACCGCAAATGCAGTTGGGAGCGAGATTGGGAGCCTCCGTCAGACATATCTCCTGCCAAGCGCCACTGCCTAGAGCAGACGACTCACGAAGCGCACATGAGTTGAAAGGCGCCCGCAGGACGTGAGACTTCTCTCGCCGCGAGTCAAGAAGAAGATGGGGATCCTGCCCTGCTTGCAGCGCCTTTGCCTGTTGATCCTCTTGCTGTTGCTGCGTGGAACAGCTGGCAACAGGATGATCGTGTGTTACGCGCTCATAGCGGTTTCTCTAATGAGGGTTCCTTCTATATGCCTACAGCCGAGGCTACGCGGGCTGACTGGATTTTTGAAGATGGTACACTTACTGCGTCAGGGCATCCTTCTGCATGGGGGTGGAGGGTGCGGAGTGCGGAGTCCTCCCGCGCCTGCCCATGCCGAGACGATTGGCTCCACTGCAGCCGAACCCACCTCAGCTGCACCTGATGCAGAACTCGCTGGAACGTACAAGGCGGTGTAGCAGCTAGTAGCCTAGTAGCGGATCGAATCAAGCTCCTGTACTCACGTTGACATACACACCAGCTTACATGCCCGAACTCATCATACTTTCGTTTCCGACTCCATGCGGAGTCGATCAGGCTAGTTCGTGTTTACAGGAAGCTAAGCGAGCCTTCCCGCGCAGCCTCAGCCCAGTCATGACGTTGCTGTCTTTCTTGCCGTGGCTGATTGGACATGGGACAGGGCCATTGTCCTTTTCGACTGTAGGAGATTGGACGACAGTGTTTTCTCGGCAGCTACGCACAAATCGCTCAATCGAGAATCTCTCCTGATTGCTGCCGGTATGCACACGATGCGCAGTTGCAAGTCTTCGTGCATGGCCTTGTCTTGCCTCTTGCTCGGCATCAAACCATCACTGTCTTCACAGGCTTGTCACCATCATGCCGGATGCTGTTGGTGCCCCTCCAGGTTATGACCTTGCTGAAATGCTGCAAAATGAGACTCATTTGCATCTCAATGTAACCGTTCTGGGCCGGTTGCATACCTCGGTAGCCATTCTGCGGCCCTTATACTGATGGGCGTCCTCGAATTTTTCGGGTTGACGATGGGCGCAGGGCGTTCTTTCGCCTTGACCTGTCTCGCAAAAACTCCGCTGCAGGCCAGAGGCCCTTACGATAGTCCCCACCCACCCACAAGTTAAAGTTACTGATCACTACAACCAAGGTGTGCCAGTTTCTGGTGTTCTTGCAGCGACTCAGGCGTTGCAGTGCAGACCGTGCCATTCCCTCCTGCAAGACACCCTAAGCGCAGAGACATTTGTGTGATGTGCGTGATCTCTGCTCTGCGGGCAGCGCGATCCAGCCGTGCCGCTGGCAATGACATCCTCCCAGCTGAGGTTTGGAAACTCCAGGCGCCCGTGCTGTCCGGGGTCCTGTACTCCTTGCTTCCATGCGTCATTTGTGGAAAGGCAAAAGTCCTCGCAGACTTGCTCCAGCCACAGGGGACTAAGGGTTTCCAGCGCTGCTGGCAAATGTCTGCATACTGCCTTCCGGGGAAAATGCCACGTTTGGCGCGAAGCCATCGCTTCCCCGCTGCAGGCTGCACTGCAGGTAGGCGGTCGTCGGGGCACAAGCGTCCTTGTGCATGCCGTTGCGTCGCCATTGTCTTCTTAGATTTGCGCGAAGCTTTTCACAAGGTGGCCAGGCCACTCGTGCACGGTGGAGACTTCAATGACGCTCATATTATTGTCAAAGTCCTTGCTTGCTTCCTCCATTCCCCCTAGCAGGATTGAGGCCTACGGGAATATGTCAGGCACCAGGCCATCATCCGAGATGCTGGGGCCTCTGCGTGGGCGGCATCGCTCCTGCGCGAGCTCCAGTCAGACACATGGTTCAACATCAACGGTCAGCTTGCATCCGTCTTAGCCGGCACTCATCCGGGCGACTCACTCGCTGACGTTGTGTTTTCCTTTCTTTTTGATACTGTGCTTGAGCGATTGCGGGATGCATTGATTGAACGCCAGCTCTCGGTATTCCTACCCTGGCACTCGGACTGGGCAGGCCAGCTAGATGTTGATTGCCCAGCTAGATGTTGATTGCCCTACTGATGGGCAGATCGCACCCATCGATGTCTCATGGATGACATGGCATTGTTGCTTTGGTCAGACAGTGCTGAGGCACTCCTCTATCTGAGGTGCTCCTTGACGAATGCATCAAGGCGCTCATGTACCCAAAAATCCTCGCAAGACTGAAGCTGTCCTGTCTGTTGTCGGGAAAGGTTCTAGGCGGTTGCGTGGCGGCCAGAGGAGGCCAGCACAGGAGAGGGCATGTTCAGCAAGCCGCCGCAGATAGAGCCCACGCCAAGCCGAGGCGCATGGGCAGCCGGCTAGGTTTCCACCCATGGAGAAGGTGGCAGCCAAACCAGCGGCGAGGACACTACGGCTACGGCGGCAGTGCAGGCTAGCGAATGCGAAGGCCCTGGAAGCGAGGGAGAGGCCGGCTCGACCAGAGCTACCACAAGACGCCACAATCGGAGTGGTTGCTAGGGTCCTACACGCTGGAGTCGGCTGTGGATATTGGCTGCCGGCAACTCAAGGCTAGGCAGCACAAGAACATCGATAGCCGCCAGATATTGGACCCACAGGCTAGGCGAGAATGAGTGTGTTCAGGTTTCGGCTAGTAAAACAGATCCCCAGCAGGGCGGGATACAGTACCGGCCAGGGGTCCGGGGGATAGGGCGTTGGGACGCCAAGGGGCAAGGGGCTATTTTCCGGTGCACGCTCCCTCCTCCATTTCCTGACGTCGACTTTTCCTTTCAAGCTTCCTCTCCCACTGGCTAGGGCCCACAGCTTGGCATGTCCGGAGACCGAGCTGGCAGCCGATCTGGCTAAAGGGTCAGCCGACCTGCGATACCTCCTTACCCAGAATCGGGATGCCCAGGCTACGCTTTTCAGCGTGGATACTGCGGCTACATTTTCGGCGAGCTTCACGAGTGAAGACGATCTGCGAGGGGCCTCAAGAATGATTTTTCGATAGATGTGGAGACCGGCCTTGCTAACCGGGCGCTAGCGGCTAGCTTCGTCGTGGCATGGCAGGGCGCACAGGCTAGAATTGAAGGCCATGCCGAGCTAGAGGCCGCAGCGCAGCTTCGTGAATGGGCTAAGCCGATAGCCCAAACCGACTACTGTATATATGGCTATGAGGCAGGCTTTTGCCCTCAAATTTGGAGAGCCAGAGGTGCCGGCTAAGGAGTACATCGAAAAGAAACTCCACGAGCTAGAGACCGGCGAGTTCAGGGCAGAGCCCCTGAGCGAGGTCCTCTCACGGGACGAGATAGATCCGGAGACTCTCGTCCCGCAGTGGGATAGTAGTGCTAAAGAAGGCTAGCTCCAAAGGAGCCCTTCCGGCTAACCCGGGATTGCGGCTGACGGTGATGGCTAATGCTCTGCTCATGATACAGCTCCATCACCCGGGCCGCGTGGAGCTGCGGGATACCAATCAGCAGCTATTTGAGAAATACGAAGATTACCTTCTCGGCGACTATTGCTATGGGCTAATGTCCAACGAGGCTAGCGGCTCGCTAGCACCGCCTTGAACCCTGGTCCTTTCCTATGACAGGGCTATCAGGAAGTTTGCCTACAAGCAAATGGCTAACCTCTCGATAGGCTTTGCCGACGCCCTTGCCTAGGCCTGGCGGGATGCGGCTACTAAGGAGAGGCACTTTACGACGCCCCTTTCGCCATGTGCGAAGAGGCCACAACCGTGGAACTCGGAGAGCACCCAAGCTACGGATAGCAAAGGCGGCGGCAAAGGCCGAGGCAAAGGAAAGGATAAGGGCGGCAACAAGAAGCAAAAGACCGGCAAGGAGAAGGATAAGGATGGCTACAGTCGGACAGCCGACGGCAAACCCATTTGCTATAGATTCACTGCTAAAAATGGGTGCAAAAAGGGCGCTTCGTGCACGTGTGCACGAAGTGCCTTGGCGACCATCCGGCGGCCAGAGCAGGCTGCGCCGGCTAACTGACCAGGTTCGGGCAACCACCCTCGTGCAGTGCTGTCACACCAATCATCGATCGGATCCTCATACCTTTGTGGTCACCTGCTGAAACGCTGAAAGTCGGTGCAACTCTTGTATATGTCTCTGATTCGTCGCATAAGACTCGTGATTTGAAAGTAGTAATCATTAATTCCTGCGCCATGCTCATACGGCGCAGCAAAGTGGCTAGCCATGGCTCTGTCCATCTAGCCATATCCCCACCGGTTGTCTTCACCTGTGTGAAGTATACCGGAGAAACTCCGGTCGCCTTCACAACAGTGAAACACACCGGGTATACCGGTTGCCTCCACCGGTGTGGAGCGTACCTACGGTACCTCCACCCGTGTGGAGCTGCCGTTTCCCGGGAGCTCCGCTATGTAACCTGGGTGTGAACCCTCGCAAAGCGTACAGGTGCACACACAACGCAGGGGTCGGTTTTTTCTACAGGCTCACAACTGCAGTCAGTATTCTGTTAGAACCTCGAGCAGCAAGCATGGATACATGCAAGTGACACGTGAGACAGACAGGCACCTGATGTGGAACAGTCAGGATTTCACCCCACCCCATCGTCCCCCCCACTATGGTTCCCTGTGGTGTGGGTTTCCCCCTGGCCCTCTTCCGAAAATGGTGATCATGATCCCCGTCAACATGCAGAACAGGACAAGAGCAGTGATACTACCAAGAGTCACACTTGGAATACCAGTGTTAAAGAAGCACACCAGCATCATTGTCCTCAGCGTGATCGCCATCATTGCTGGTGCGCCATTTTGTGCGAGTTCCAAGAAAGCATCGACAGTTGGGATGAGAGGGGGTGGACATACCATGGGGGGGGCCACTGACGTGCCGACGCCGGACCCTGTATACTTGTATACATACAAATCATACAAACTATACATACACTTTTTACATGTACACCTAGCCACAACACCGAGTCTCAATCGCGGACCTTGCTTACCAGCGAGGCCCGTGGCGACACCTCAAGAGCCAAAAAAAATCTGCGAAGGAATTGGCACTAACAGAACCCTCATGATGCCCTCATGTTCCACAAGTAGAGGCCTCGCATCAACAGAAAGCTCTCGAAGTGGTCGGAAACAAGTCTGTCTGAGTGCTCCAACGCATGTCCGGCAGGACTGAGCTGCAGATGGGATGCCGCGTCCTCACAAGCCAGAACTCTCATGAACATTCTACAACAGAGCAAACCAGAGGGGCCATGACTTGTTGGCTTCCGGGCCAGAGGTCTCCGCGCCCCTTCCCTGACAAGGATGTCAGACGGAGAAACGAAGCAACCACTCCAAGGGTCCAAGCTCGGAGGCCTTGCTGGCGGGGCTGACACCCAGCCAGAGCGAGAGGCCCTCGAAGAAGTAGCCTTACGAGTCGAAGACTCGAAGACGACAAGAGAGATCACGAAGGCACGAAACCTACCTAGACCCATGTTCCCTTCCCACGACAATGTCTCCCATCAAACCAACTGGCGCGCCACGACTAAACCTCGCGACAAAGGCCCACAGCCTCCTGTGGGTAACAGGCTTTCAGGAGGCTCTGTCCCAAGCACAAGAGACAGACAGAGACAGTGCTGTGGGCTAAGGCGGCAACATCCCTCGGGCCTCCGCAAAAAGGGACGAAGGGACAGCTCCGCATTGCATTGAGTTGGGCTCCGTTCCAGCCCTCCGAGCCTCTCGGCTTCGGCTGTGATCTGCGCAGATAGGTCCGGAAGATCCAGCTGCCTGCAGGCAACTGGTGGAAAGGAGCGCCTTGCAAGCTCCAAACGATGCGGTGATGCTTTTCTGAGGATGGCTTTGCAAGCCCTGGGCCAATCTGCATGACATATGCACGGGGTTTGTCTGTGTGCCACACCTTCGAGATGAAGCAGAAAGTCTCCGCAACGCACTCGCAGTCTAATCTTCCGGGCTCCCTCATCTCCCTCTCGCCCTCACTCGAAAATTTGGCCCTCGCCTCGCAGCCTGCTCGCACTCTGCAGGGCCCAGGATGGGGAAGAGTGAAAGCTGCGCCTCAGACATCTATCAGGCCCTGCGAGCCGGAAATGCTGCTTCCTGCTTTGCAAGCGAGCGATCGCGAGCAAGCGCACGCACGCAAGAGTCGAGGTCACGGCACAGGTGCCAGACTCAATCAGCTGCACGAAGGCGCCCTGGCAGCGACGCGCTGAAATCATCTGGCAAAGCGGAGCATGAAGTCCCTGAGCGCGCGTGCCTCTGGCGATGTCGTGGTGCTCGCCGTGCTCGTCTGGCTGATAGTGGTCGAAACCTTTCAAACACGCGCACAACATGCGGTCCCGACCGAAGTTGCTGGGTGCCAAAGCCGTAAAGGTTCGGGACACGGTTGACGAAGACCTCGGGGAGCCCGAGCACATCCCTTCCGCCTTGCATGTCTTCCCATGTAGCCCTGAGCTGCCCACGTGGTCCGGGTGGTTTGTGTCAGGGTTGTGGCCGTCGTGGTCCTCGCAGTCTCCGAAAATGCGCCCCGGGGTGGAGCCGAAAGTTGTAAGCTCGTGGCGGCGTGCAGTTCTTGAATGTGAACCATTCTGTCTGGGCCTCGGCACTTTTGCACTCTCGCCGCGAGGCTGTTCATGGAGTTTCGCACTGGCAACTCCGGAGCAAAGACACGCTCTAAGATTTTCACCGCCACATGCAAAGGTAAAGTGTTGTGTGGTGTGAAACATGCCAACGTCCTTGTTTCCACCTCGTGTGGGCAATGACCTGGGCTTGCGAAACGGGCTCTGCTGAAGTGCACCATGATCTCATGTCCTCGGGCCGGCTGTGCTTTCCTCTGCCTCGGCGATGTCCCGGATCGTCTGCCCATGTTCGCTGACGAAGTCGCAGCGAAGGCTACCTTACGAGACCTGACGCATTCCCGATGGAGAAGAAAAGAGCTGAGCGAAGCAGGAGGTGGTCAAGAAGACGAGAGAGGCGACGGGAGTCCGCCTGTTTCTCGCAATTCGCCATTTGTTGATCACTGCTGTGCTGGCGGCATCCTTCCGCAAATCATCGTACACTGACCTGGCGCGCGTCACGTAAACCCGCTGCCGCTGCCGAATCACTTCAGGCCACTTTCTCAAATCCTCTTGACCTGTCCAAGCCTCCTCCGGCATCACGACGATCCAGTCGCCAGCCCGCAGTGCCTCGAGGCCTCCGCCGCCAGAGGAGCGCGGCCGACTCGCTTGGTCTGGCCAGAGTTGAACCGGATGCTCGCCTTCACCTCTTTTCCTTGTGATCAAGAAGCCACCCACACTGCGGTAACGCATCTGTTCCTTGTGCTCCGGCGTCCGGCGTCCCGATGGCGTGTCCTCTGTCTGCCAAATGGACAACGACGCCATCCTTCAAACCAGCATCTGGCCAACAGCGTTGACGAAAGTCAGCACCCCTTTCGCACAACTCCAATAAACTGCTTCAGGCGAATCACATCCGCCACTCTGACTCTAGCGGCTCTAGCATCCTGCTTGGCTCTAGCTGGGCAACTCCATTCTAGTAGATCGCGGCTCAGCTATGCAGACTCTCCCGTTGCGACATGCTCAAATACGTCGAGATCGGCCGCAGCTGGGTGCTCGCCAACGATTGAAGATACGCTTAACACTTTGACCATGTGGAACGAACTGACGTGCTTGCAGCAGGGCAATGCTGTTGAATCGTTGATGCGGGTTGATGTCAAGCTGTACGAGGCAAAGAGACAAACCACACTATGCGAAATCCTGGGCGCCCCACTGGTCGCCAAGAGGCGGGCGGTCGGTCTGCCATCATCCGAGAATCCAGGAATTCCCAACTGACAGGAATTGACAGTTGAGGATATGCCCAAACCGTGCATGAAAGGCCGAGGAGCAAGCTAAACACCGTCTTGTGACCCATGCAACTCAAAGGCAGTGGGGTCGTTGTCCGGGCAGTCATCCCCGGTGACGTAGCCTTGGCGAGTCACAGAACCGCCTTTTGGATCTTGCTTGGACGAAAACCAGGATTGACGTCTGGGTCAAAGTGAAGATGAAGCATCGGCTATCAAAATGAACGAAGGCTTCGCGGAACGACGACTAGATACAGGAGAGCTGCACACGGATCTTGAGGACAGGCGGCATTAAACGCGATCTTAGCCGAACCAAAATCCCTGAGTCCATGCTCGCGATCCCTGCAAAGAGACCGTACCTGTTGATCTTCAGCTGCTGGTACTGATGCTGGCAGGGCTGGCTTGTAGTCAGGTTCGTTCGGGGCTTCCATGGCACACACAGCGAATTGAGTCACTCAGTTTTTTCACACGCACAACGTCCGTATGCTAAGCTGCCACCTGAGTTGTACAAGGTGTGATGGCTGCTTAATACTTCTGAAGTTCATGACTTAAGGGGCATGATCGTACCCCACCCTCAAGCACAGCGCATGGAAGTCTTCTCAGCTCAAGCTTCACTCAAGCCTTTGACCTCATTCCCAACAAGAGCTCAACAACTCACTTTCACAACCTACATCTATCCCACTGGCCCTTCTTTGGCATCAACACTCCTCTTTTGGAGGCTGTGCAAGCTTCAACAGCCTCTCATGATGCCAACTCAGCCTTCTGGTAGAACTTGACCGTGGGTGACTTTGTAGGACAGTGGGTAGTTCCCGTCGCAGTAGTAACATAGTTGCATCTGCCTCAACTTGGCTTTGTTGGCGTGCCGTAGGCCATGACAATCAAGAACCACATGAAGTCTGTCGCCATGCTCAGACATCACGAAACTTCTTCTCAAACGACGGTACTGCCCGTTTTGGGCACTCTCCAAGGCCGCTCTCAAATCTGGATCGTCCTCCGCTCGAGCACCTGTTCTTGTAGTAGTCACCGCGCTGGCAGTAGCTGGTGTAGTAGGCGCTGAGCTTCCGACGGCTGTTGAGCCCAGTGGCTCTTGCGGGCCCAACCTTGGGGAAGACATCACCACCTTAGGCTTTTCCCCAAACATAGGATCCGATGAGCGCGCACTCGTCATAGACGCCAACTCCTCTTGCAAGGCCTTCGAGGCCTGGTTTCGAATCCTCATCAGCCTGTGGGCCTTTGCAATCGTAGCCTCATCGTCGCCGAAGAGCTTGTGCGCAATCCACTTCAGTGTTTCCCACACTCCAAGCAACGCTACACCTGCTATCAACAGCATCCCATAGACCTCAAAGTTGCCATCATAGTCCAAAGGCTTTTTGCTGTAGATCTCGGCAGCCTCACCCTTGGGGACCTTGGAGACCATCATGAGCCACGCAAACATCCGCAGCAGGTCATAGTAGTCCGCACCACGCAAGGACCTGATGACAACCTCCTTCTCGTCGTTCTCAAAGTCCTCAGCTGAACACATGCCCCACAGCTTCTTCAAGTCCTGTAGCCTTGACACAGGCACCGGCTTTGTGCCCATATCTGCCACCTGAACTTCACAGGGTGTATGTATCACCTGGATCCGGCCTTCGCTGGTCTCCATCCGTAGGTGCCTGGCCTTCACCTTTAAGTGAAGTGTCTTCCACGAACCAGGCGATGTAGTAGCCAACCCACACGCCGCAGTATTGTCCACCCTCAGAACTAGAGGTTCATCTGTGTCCTCGCTGGACACTTCATTGACCCAAGCCTGCAACCCTGCGGCTTGTTGACTGGCATTCAGTAGCTCCACCAACTTCAGCAGCGGACAAGACAAGGCTATGGCAGGCGGCTTTGTCATTCTCCATGCCGCAAACCCGCCATAGGTGGCGGTGGTCACACATCCAAAGCTCCTGTCTCCATGCGGTGCGAAGCTCGCGTCTGAGTTGGCAACCACCGGACACCGGACCACCTTGCCCATCATAGCATAGACCCATGCTAAGTACCCCATGGTCATCTTGGCCAACCGGCTGGCTGCTGCAAGGTCCTTCGTTGCTGCGCTGCACACATGGGCAGTGGCAAACCCCACATCTGGACGCGTTCGGGTCACAAGCCACAACAACTCGCCCGCCATCTTCTGAGCCTGCTTTACCAAGTCATCGTCCACCGGTACCAATTCTGCATCGTCACCATCTTCACTCTGTGGCATCACTTCCTTGGAGGCCGGAACATGTGATGGCCTTGCCGCCTCCTCCGGGTAGTTGCGGAGGAGCTCCGTCACATAGCTCCCCTGAGAGATGGGGAAACTGGTAACGCTCGTCACTTCTTTTCGCCTCACATCCATCCCCAGGTAACGAACTGGTTCTCGTCCAAGCCACTCCAACGGTGAGCACTTCCAGCCTTCATCGCCCTCTGTGCCCTTGGTCAACCACTCGTACATCCACCTTGATCGTGTCCACCGGGCCCAACATCATAGCATCATCCACGTACACAATCATCATGGCCAAAGTTTCAGATTCGCAACCCGTATGTTGTGCTGGTGCTGCGGCTGAGCAATGTCGCTGACCTCCGCCTTTTGCCGCTGACTCCTTTACTCCGTTTCCCACTTGTCGAAGTTGAGGAGCACTTGGAGGCACTGTTGTGGGCCGTGGTGCAGCATGCCATCATAACCGAGTGTCGTCAAGGACGTATGCCTTGGTCTCAACTGCTCTCTTTCGCGTCGCCCCGGCAGTGGCTTGCCAATCTTTCTCCGGAGAGCTGTGCTGCTGCTGAACTTTGGATCCGCAAACTCGCCAGACGCTTCGGGTGCCTGAGCACGTGGGGCCCGTTTCCTCATGGGACTTCGCTTCGAGACCATGTGCCCGAGCATGTATGGGATCCCCCTGAGTCTGTGCTTGCTGCGCTTCCTGCGGTGGAAGAAGTCGACGACGCGCACGAAGCTGTTTTTTTTATACATCAGAGGCTGTATATTTTACACTAAGTAGCTATGTATGTACATATCACATATTCCATATTAAGCGGCCGCAGACACATATGCATGTACATGCGTAGCGAAGCTCGCATTTACGTTCAGTTTTAACAACGCTCCGACGTGCTGTTCACGCGAGCCTTTGAGCACGGTCCAGTAGCCAGCCTCCGGTTATCATGGTTGGCACATGGATGCTCTGCGGGCATGGATATGGTCTGATCTGGACGTTATCATGGTTGGCACATGGATGTTCTGCACTGAATGGATATGGTCTGATCTGGACGTTATCATGGATGGCACATGGATGCTCACCAGAACTCCGACGAGCTCGAGAAAAGAGGGTATGTTCGTGTCCACGCAAAGTAGTTTCAGGCATTCTAAACAAGCTGAGAATAGACGACTTCCCTAGGCGAAACCACGATTTTGCCTGTTTCCCCCTTAGTAGCGCTGCTTCTACGCTACTCGTTCGAGAACCTGGTCTAAATCCTCGCAAAAAACAGTACATCCAGCATGCCTCTAACCCTTGAAAGTTATTGGCCTAGCCCAAAAAAGCACGTACACCTAAGCGCCGCGGACCTAGTTGATCGCCTCGTCCAACTTGTAGAACATCTGTCGCTCACGTTGGCTTGCATACTCCCCTCGGGCTTCTCGAGCTCGTCGCACTTGCCTCTCCTCTTCAACCAAATCTGACAACCATGTCACTCTCCTCCTCAAGTGCTCCTCCTCATCATGTCCCAGGGGCAGGAGAGGTGTGGATGTCATAACAACATTCTCCTGGCTCCCTTCTGGGCAGTAGCGTATTGCCCAGCGAAGTCGTAGCTCTACCCTCCCGCCTGGAAGGACTGTGGTATCCATCCTTTCCCCACTCAGCTCTGGGAAACCTTGTAGAACCCTTCTTGAACTGGTAGAAGAGCTCGACACTGGCTGGCCCGGGATCTCCTTTTCCTTAAACCACATCGAATGGTACTTTGCATGGAACTCGTCCCCCGGCTTCATCTCCTGCCACACACAGCTTCCCTTGGAAACCTTCAACGGCGAGACTAGGTTGACCGTGGACTTAGGGTTGAAAGCATCTCTGTGGAGCGGCATAGTAGCGTTCTTCACAAGGGCCACTGACGTAAAGACCTTCCCCGGTGATCCATCCTCAGCAATCTCGTCGCCAGCCCTGCCTCATGTGCAAACCTCTCCGTCGCGACCGTAATGCTTGTGATCCCACCATGTTGGTAAGCCCCAAGATTCACATAGGCCGCGCCATCCCACACTTCGCCTTCCCTCATTTGTGGCCTTTCTATCTTGGCCTCTGGAGACTCCCAAATGGAGGAAGCCAATAACTTCTCCACCAACGCCTTGCGACTCCTTGCATCAAGTGCCCTCACTTCCGGGTCCGCAAGCTTAGTCTTCCTTCTCAATCTCCTGGTCGGCTCCACAAGGTCCACCACGAACTCTTCATCGTCTTCATCCTCCACTTCATCATCTCGCACCGTCCTCATGTGCAAGGTCCGCATCCACAGCCCATCATCCAGCCGCACTACATGTCCTTCACGAACATCATCTGCTGGACCCATGTAGATACCTCTCTCCCACCTTGGATCAAAAGGTCCACGATCCTTCTTGGACTTCACCCAGACAACTGCTCCAAACTTTATCTCCGGGGCCTTCTCACCGAGCTCCCTGGCATTGCGCAGCTTGCAAGCATGCTTCATCGCACACGGCCAAAGCTCCTTGTCCAGCTCCGCGTCTTGAAGGTGAAGCCTGGCCTTGCCCTTCAGCCACTTCACATGGCTCTCTGCCGTGGCGTTCTGAGCGGGCGCCAGGCCCTCCGTATAAGTCTGGTAGATGTCGCTTTCACGGCACCATCTTCTCAACGGCTTCACCCTGAACCCCAGCGTACGGATCCGTATGTGGAGATCCTGGACCGCCTCCAAGACCTCCTTGCCACGCGGACTCCTCACACCCCTGCCCTTCTCGTAGCGGTCCTCCGACAACCTGCTTCACACGACCTTCGGCATCTCCACTACCACCTTGAGCTGATCATCCATTGGTACATGGTGCATAAACGGGGCCGCCAAGACAGCTCTCACGCCCGTCTCCTTGTCCCCCGTTGCCACATACTCCTTGATCGCATCCTTCCAACTCCACTGGGTGTAGTCCTTCGCCGCCATGATAGCTGACCTCAAAGTCGCCAGCGATCCCATAGCCTCGGACAACTTTGCTTCTTCCAACTCTGCGATGAGCCTCAAGGCGTCGCACTGCATAATCTCCGGGCAATTGGACCTGGTGTACACCTTGATCTCCTTCTTGTCAGGGTGCTTCAACCGGCATCCTTTGCGATCCCACGCGAACTCGTAGCCAAGTGCCTGCACCAATGTCCCCAGCGGGACAATGGGTTGTGTCTGCTTGTCGCCCAGGATCGTGCCACTCTTGGTCTGGTCCATTTGCACCTTCTGTTCCCCAGCCAAAGTGATGCTCACACTGGTCTTCTCCCCCTTGTCCTGTGGAGTCCGCGGCCTGAGAGCGTGTGTGGCCCCCGAATCCAGGAGCCCCATTCGACACATACTCACCAAGTCCTCCTCAAACTTCATCAGCTCTCTCAAAGCCGGGGAAGCCTTGATATGCGCGACTTGAGTGTTCTCCACTCGAAGCACCTTGATGTTTGGGGCGCTCTTCTGCTCCATGAACGCCTTCATCAGCATCTGCGCGTCCTCCCCAGTCCCCTGAGTACTGAGTAGGCTCCGTCGTTGTAGTAGGTAAAGTAGTGCTTTCGCTTTCCGTCCCCTTTGGGCTCCTCCGGCACTTCGTCTTCCATTGATTCCCGGTCAAAGACTGTGGAAAATCACCTGTACTCACCGCCTTCTGCTGGACCTCCTTCTTCGTGGGGCAAGCCGAAGACAAGTGACCCTTAGCCCCGCACTCGTAGCTTTGCTGAGCTCTCTCATCGAGTGCTCATATTTGCAGGCCTTGCCTCTACGACACCCCTCGTCCGACAAGTAGATCCGGCACGGTCTCGTACCACCCTTCGGCGTCGCAGTAGGCATTGGCATGGTCCCTGGTTGAGCCTCTACAGCTCGGACCTTCGGATTCGCCGGGGTCTCCTGGCTCTTGTTGGTCTTCGGCTTTCTGAACCCAAGCTGTTCAAACTCCGCCAAGAACGCCCTGTGAACCGTCCTCCGTTGGCGCAAAGTCAACCTTCAAGTGGTAACGCGGAAGGTTCATCCTAAACGTGATCTCCTGGTTCTCCCCCACTGGTTTTTTCAGCATGCCATCCAGCGCTCTCATCAGAATGGATGGATCTGGCGTTCCCAGACGTAGGTCCCGGGCCCTTTGGTAATACCTGAGCCACTGTCTCAACGACGGCCTCCTGCGACGTGTTCGCCGGCTCCGGGTTTTCGGTCTTCTTGAGCATCTGGCCCTTTTCCACCGCGCTCCCGGGACGATACAACACCATCAGCCTGGAGAGCACGTCGAGGGTCGTCTTAGAACGGGAGGGAAGCGATGATCTCCTTCTTCACGTCCTCAGGTGTAGCCGCTATCAGCAACGAAGCGCCACGTCGATCTACCCCGGCCCACTTTAGGTCTTGCAAACCCACACTCTGCTCCGGCTTCAAGGACAACCTCGCAAACTGGTCCGCCTGCTGGTACTTGTCGTAGTAGTCTTGGGCATCCTTCACCACCATCTTCCAACACTCGGCGCTGCTCGCCGACAGATCTCGCATTCCAGGCAATACAACCAATCACCGACGTCCACCGATGAGGTCTCCGAGATCTCTGGCAACTTCGGAGCCTCAACACTCTTTGAATCTTTTTCCCTTCACTCGATCATTCAGGGCTGCGGTTCCAACATGTGCTCAAAGTGTGTACAAAGGGCAGGGATGAATCGTTACACCCCGCCTCGGCGCAACTGGTTCTTGAAACAGCTGCGCCGCTCCCGAAAATGGGAAAATCTATACAAATTTCCTTTGTGGCTCTAGTCGCCATCAGGTGGCCCCATGCAAGTCAGGCATGGGCCGAAACGCCTCACCGTGGACCGCCTTACGTTCCCACAGCTCGGCAAGTGATATCTCTCGCCACGGGAGGTGGCGATGGCAATCTCAGGCGGAACCCTCACTCGTTGTGGCCGGTGTCGAACTAGCCTGGCCTCTTCCTGAAGCCGTCTGTTTTCCTCGCGAAGCTCACGGTTCACTTCCTCGTACTGTTCCATCTCAACCCTCATCTCGGCAATCACTTTCCTGAGTTCGGTGCATCTATCCACGTACTCCTCGGTGAACTTCGTCTCGGATCGTGACATGCCGCGGTTCGCCTGGACGCCTTTCTCCCTGCCTCGCTGTCGTCCTCGCTCGTCACTGCCGCCCTGGCTTGTGGAAGACCCAAGGCACCACTTAAGGAACCCTAGGAAGCCAGACGGAAGAGCCACCACAACCAACCAGACCAGCGTAGCCACGCCCACGTAGAAGACCGCAGAGGCGACGAACTCGTCGTCGAAGAGCAGCGCCGCTGGCGCCGCCAGGCTCAAGCCCTGAGTCTCGGAGACCTGGGTCAGAAGAAGAACAAGGGGAAGTAGCGCCTTGACCCGGTCCACTCTCAAGCCATCACTCTTGAGTTCCTTGATGGCCCTGGCCATGGTCCTTTTCTGCTCTGCGATCTCGCGGTTCTCGGTGCCATAGGCCTCGCCATTGGGCTCGAATGCTCCCATCACATTAAGTAGTTCCCGAACACGGGGTCCATTCAGAGGCTTCGTCCCAATATCGCTGGGATTCTCCACTCCTCCAATGACCCCAATCGCCAGAACCTTTTCTCGCACGGCCTGCTGGATCCAGAGCGTGGAGCAATGCAAGTGCCTCACGCGTCCACAGCCGAGCCGCTGTGCAACTCCTCGGCAAGCTGCCGAGTCTGTTCGGCACACGATCTCAACCTTCGCGGTGTCCCGGAGAAGAAACCTCAAGCAGTCGGCCACGTAGATCGCCTCGCAAGCCCCACCGATGAGGGCTATGTATTCACTTTCAGCTGAGCTTAGCGCGATGCTTCGTTGTGACCGGACCATGCTTCCAACAAGGCCGCCGCCGATGTAGAGCTGGATCGCCGACCTGCTCCTCCTGCTCCTTTTGCACCCTGCCCAGTCTGCATCCGTTATGCTCTCGACCAGGTAGGTCATGATCTCGCGTTCGTTGTCAAAGCGGGGGCCCCGGTACGAGAAGGAGGCTCCACTGGCCACGGGCCGGATGAGGAATCCCACCTCCGGTGTGGCCGCCAGATAGCCAACGACTCGCAACAGCCACCGGTGTGCTTTGGCCGTTGGGGCTGCCATCTTTCCACTGAGGACGCAGACTGCATACTGGATGTCGGGCCGGGTGTGGCTGAGATAGAGCAGTCAGCCCACGCACTCCTTGTACACCCGGGCGTCTCCCGGGCTGAGCTCCTTCGAGTCGTCCTCCTCCAAGAACGTTGCGTCGGCTGGCGCGTCTCGGCTCTTGACCTTGCTCCCGAGCTCCTTGACCAGCGCCTCCAGATAGCGCCCGTTGGAGTAAACAACCACGCCGTCATTGGTCCTGACGTACCTCCTCTTGAGGAACTCAAACTCGTCGCCCACGGCCGCCATTGGGTCACCAACTTGAACCGTGACCTTTCCGCCGAACACCTTGATGATCTCCTCTCGCTGGGCCTTGGTCGACGCCATCAGCCCGTCGTCCGCATGGAGGATCATCCCCGCCTTGCTGGTGGGGTCGGTGTGCCTGAAGAGCGTCGGCTCTTTGTCGAAACTCTGGAGCTTGGCACCCTGCAAGATGTCGCGCGCCATGTCATACCACGCGCTCGCCCCGATCCTTTGACCAGGGAGAAGCCTGTCCAAGACCAGGGTGCGCATGCCGGAGTCGCCCTCATTGAAGATTGCCGCCGGGACTTCTATGATGACCTTGCTTGGCTGCGGCACATTGAGGTAAGCATCTTTCACATCAATTGTGGTCAGTTCGAGGTGGTTCGTGATCGCGTAGGAGATAAAGGAGTGGATGACGGCTAGAGAGGAAGCGGGCGCGAAGAGCTCACTGCTCCAAGCGGCTAAGGTCCGAAACTCCCTCGCCACCAAGCGGCTGCGACGTATCCAGCCTGGGCGCCGCCGCCAGTCCTTCACAAACTTGGTCGTGAGCAGGGAGTGGCCACTCAAGTCCTCCTGCTCGTTCGGAAACCTCGCCACTCCCATCTGGGTCAATCTGCTCACCTCCGTTTCATCTGCTCGCCGGTCCACCTCGACGCTCTGAGTACTCATCCCACCAGGTCTCGGCAAAGTCCTCGGCCAGGAAGCTCGCGTTCTCCATGGCCTCCACCAGGTCTTCCTCCCAATTCTCGAACCCAGTGAGCTCCTCCGCCGGGATGTCGCCGTGAACCATTCTTATGCCCGCAAAGGTGGGAGGATACAGACCAGAGCTTGCTGAAGGTGAGGCCCCTGGGCTAGCCCCTGGTGTCACCGGTCTATCAAGCAAAAGCCTTGGTCGCTTAGGAGCTGCTCCCAGAATTGACTCAGGTGCCTCGCGGGTGACTCCAGCAGGTTCGCCTGAAACCTCCATGTCCTGAACGGCAACTTGAGGTGGAAGTGAATCTCGTGACTCCTGCTGTGGTCCATGTGCTCTTTGCTGCTGGGTCTGCCCCGCCTGGCCTTCACTAGGTCGCCCTTGAGGTGGAAGTGAATCTCGTGACTCCTGTTGTGGTCCGTCTGCTCTTTGCTGGCCTGCTCTGCCGTGGTTGTTGCTTGCCCCGGTTGGTGACTCCGACGTTGAGCTCGAAGACGAAGTGGGAGGATCACTGCCTGGCTCGCTTCTTGGCTTTGGCGGTACTAGCGCGGGGGGAGCGGCTGCAATCGACTCTGCCGCCGCCCTGCCAGCCGACCTTGCCAACTCCTCCAGGGTGGCTGTGTCCGGGAGCAAAGGAACTCTAGCAGAAGCTGCCGTGTACAAAGGTCGCCTCCTCTTTCCTTTTCCCATGTAGCTCCACGGCAGGCCGATCATGCCCAGCACCGCTTCGGCGTTCCATTGTTCATCTGCAGGTAGGCGCCGGATGCTTCTCGATTCGAACACGCCGTCGGGGGTGCCCAACAGGTGTGCTCCATTCCTTTCGTGCACTCCAAGCCAAACTCCCCGGCACCATTGTAGATCCCCTCGAGCTCGGCTGGGCTTATGGAAAATCACCTGCTCCCCGAGGGGCACAAGAAGGCCACGATAGGCCCTTCCAAACATGATCTCGTGAGGTGTGCCCCCTCTGGGTGTCACAGCGTAGCGGTTGTACAGGAAGCCCGCGTGCCGCATGATCCAGGGGTAAAAGTGGTTGTGGCCCTCAATCGTGGCCTTGATCTTTTGCTCCACATAGGCTCGCAGGGTAAGCCCATTGCACCTGACCACATCGATCATCTTCTCAGCCTGGCCGTTCGAAGCATGCGACCCCTTTGGGATGACCTTCTTTTCGGTCACCAGGCCAAGCCTCGCTCTGCAAGCCTCCACTGCATTCATCACCTGGCCGATGGCGGGCTCAGAGTCACCCTGAATCACGACCGGCTCGCCAGGGGAGACAACCATTGACAGACGAACCAGTTGCTCCACCACTCTTTTCAAAGCGCCGGCCCCCTTCTCAAGGACCGGGATCGCAAGTACCCAGCCCGTCTTGTTCTCGGCCGCCAGGAGGGTGAGCCCAAACTGGTCCCGAAAATCCACGCCGTCAGCCGCCTTCTCGGGTCCCTCCTCCAGCGCCTGCTGCTCGGCCCCTTGGGCCGCTTGATCATCACCGGCCGCTTGTGCATCACCTCCAGCCTCGGCTTCCCCCTCCTGGATCTCGTGGCGCTTCTTAGTGAAAGTGTAGCAGGAGTCGATGGAGATCCTCGAGTGGTTCGCTGCCTCCTCCTTCTTCTCGCCGGGCTTCTCCTTCGGGTGGGGCGTCTGCTTAGACCTTCCCAAGACACAGCACTCGCACCACGCAGCAAACGGTTGGTGGGTCACCGCGTGGAGCTGCTGTTGGCGAACGCTGGGGAGAACTGGCATCTTGGGAACCCTAGGGTCCCTTTCTTGCTCGCGGTACATCTTCTTGGCCACCTCCGTTGCAAGCTGCCTGGAGAGAACCATGTGGTGATCAAGAAGCCGCCTCAGCACCTTGCCTTTCCCCCCGCTCCTTGGTAGGCCAAGCTTCTCGCACAGCTCCCTCAGGTCTTTAAGTGGCGTTGCCACTTCCAGCCGGACGCCCTCGAGCTCCTCCACCTCAGTCGGCTCGCCTTCGTCAAGAACTCGCCCTTCACCAACCAGCTCATCAGGGAGAGCGCCTATGCCAGCCGCCTCCTCGTCCTCCACCATGGGTTCCGCGATCTGGCCGTCGGGCTGCTCGGAGAAGACCTCGCGCGGGTTGCTAAGAAGGTCCTTGGGCAGCTCGTCGACGTGGAGGATCATGATGAGGTCGTGCCGCCCGGTCAGGTCCGGGTCAATCTCTGTGAGCAGCTTGGGTGCCGACTCGTAGGCCTCCGTTTCCATGGTGACGGCCTGCACCCAAACATCTCCTTGGCTCTGCTCGACCTTGACAAAGACCGCCACCCACGACCAGTCGCTCGTAGTCCACAGTGACTTCTCCAGCTCGAGCTCCTCGGTGCTGTGCGTCACCATCACCGGCAAGCCGCTTGGCATAATGTGCCAGCCGGGCCGGCCAGCCACAGAGAAGAGCTCGGCCGGCAGGGTCCCCATGTCGTCGTAGGTCATCATGTTCACCCTGCTGGCTGGCGGGTTGCTCCCGCTTGCTGGGCTCGCTCCTTCAGCCACGCTTCCCGTGCCACCCGTCATGATGGCCGAGATGGTGGCCAAAACTGTCAAGGTGTTCCTCCTCAAGCGTATTGGGACTTGGTGCTCATTCCTGCGGATAACAGGCCTGCCTCCATTGTCGCCCAAGCTCCAGCCAGCACGGATGAGCCGGCCCAATGACAGGATAACCGACTCAATCTTGGCAATGCTGAACTTTTCCCTGATCGTCACCGTGGCGCCGTCGACCGTCTCCAGCTCGACCTCCAGGTTGCGCGTGTCGAGCTCATGGATGCGCTTGCCCTGCGCATCCTGCATCACCACATTGCTTCGGGTTGCCCTCTCGCCCAAAGTGCATCACCGACACGGGGGCTACAGAGAGGTCCGCCCCACTATCGATCACAACCTCGACGCTAACACTTCCTTGGGCCCTCACGGCAAGGACCCCAGCTGGGCTGCCGCTGGCTTCTTCCAGGCCGGGGCAAATGGTCCAATGGCCGTCGCCGTCGCTGGCGTCCATGGAGAAGACCGGGATGCCGAAGGGCTCGTCTTCACTCTCGGGCTCGTGCTCCCCGGCCTCCTGGTCCTCGTCGCTCGCGGTCACCATCATGAGGGACAGGGCCGGGCCTCCAAGCGAGAAGGTTTCCCCATCCTCGTCGATTTCGGTCATATCGAAAACCTCAGTGAACCTGCACTCTGGAGGGGTCTCGCAGCGGAAGGCCGTGACCTGGTTGATCCCCATGCTCTGCTGTTGCTGCTGCTGGGCCCGCAAGGCTGAGGCCGAAGACGGGATCGTAGAGGCCGTGGTGGACGCCGCCGCAGCCGAGAGCCCGGAAACGCTCTGGGTCTCAACTTGGTTGACCCGGCCTTTTCCCTTTGTCGGGCACTCGTTTTTCCAGTGGTTCATGTCGCCGCAGATCGCGCATCCACCTCCAAAGCCTTTCCCTTTCGGCTTTCCTCCCTTCTGGTCTTTGCCTTGGCTCTGCCAACCGCCGCTGCTCCACGGCTGCTGCTTCCACTGTCCTTGCCATCCTCGCCCTTGGCCGGCACCTTGCTGGCCCCAGCTGTTTCCATGACACCCATTGGCCCTTGCCCTGCGCCTTGCCATCCTTTGTCTTGCCCTTGCCGTCTTTGTTCTTGCCCTTTCCGTCCTTGCTCTTGCCCTTGCCGCCTTTGTCCTTGCCCTTCTTGCCCTTGATGACGTCCACCTCCATTGGCTGAGACCCGTTTGGGTCCTTTCCTCCGCCGCGGCCTCCAGGCAAGGACTGGGACCACGAGGTGTTCATGCTCTCAAATTGCAACACCCACTGCCGGATGTCAGCGTAGGTGGTGCTGCTGGTGATTTTGAGCTGCACCTGGCTTCGAAGAGGTTCCCGGAGACCTGTTACCACTGTCGCCATGGTTAGCTCCGGTGGGAAGCTTGCTCCCGAGGCTTCCTCGTACATCCTGAGCGCGTCCTCGTACTTCACCAAGTGCTCGTGGAGGCTCCCTGTCGTGGGGAAGGTCCACGCCGCAAGCTGGCGCATGAGCGCCAAACTCCTCGTCTTGTCCCTGGGCTCCATCTCGCACCTCAGGAGGCGCACGGCCTCCAGCCCACAGCGTGTAGTCTCCAAGCTGCGGATCAGAAGCAAAGGCCTGCCCTTGACCACAGAGCACAGAAGCCCGAAGAGCTTCTGGCTCCTTTCCACCTGGGCTTGCTCCATCAACTCGTGGGAAAGCGGCACCTCTAGGTCGATCTCGCGGAAGTCGGCCTCGTACTTAGCATCATGCGCACACACATACGTAGTGAAAGAAAACCACCACTCTTTCCACTGCCGCAGTTCCTCCTCTCTGCTGCTCGGCTTGAAGATGTCGAGCTTGAGTGCTTTCACCAGGCTGTCCGACCTTTGGCTGCTCGCCTGGGCCTCTGCCGCCTCAGCGGCCCGCTCAGAAATTGAAATAAATCTCCCAAAGACCCCACTGAAGGCCTGCTCGATCCTTGCCTTGACCAGCCTGTCAACTTGGTCCGCCGGGATCATTCGCTGCCCCGCCTGCGCATCAGCTGGTGCGCCTTGCTGCCCATCAGCCATGGGCACCTGTTGCTGTGCCGCTCCAGCACCGTCCATTGCTCCTGCCAGCAAACCACCACTCCAGGGCCGCACGCGCTGACTGGCGTGCCCACCGCCCAAAGGAAAATTGTAAAAGTGTGCCCTCTCCAGGGGACTTTCCGGAGCCGCCTCGCACTGAGGACTTACGCTAAAAGCCGCGCCAGGTAGGCAGATTAAACTGCAGCTACCCCAAGGGTAAAGCGGGCAAATCAAACTGCAGCCGCCAACCAGAAAAACTATTGCTGCGCGGAAGGCCAACGTGTTGGCTGGGGCTTGGGTCCTGGCCCGTGGAACCGCCACCTCCCCAGACCTAAAAGAATGGGGCAAGTGGACGGCTCCGCTACCATGAATCTTTTTCCCTTCACTCGATCATTCAGGGCTGCGGTTCCAACATGTGCTCAAAGTGTGTACAAAGGGCAGGGATGAATCGTTACACTCTTTGAAAGCTCCTCTGGCTTGTTGCCCTTGATCACCTTCTCCAAGCCTTCCAACAAGTGTGACATTGGATCAGCTGTACCCGTAGCGCCGTAGCACTTCCAGATCTCATTGGGCCTGCGTTTCCAGGTTTCCCTGCCGGACCAGATACCTCCCGTAGTGGTTGGTCCTGCATATACGCCCGAGGCCCCCGGCATACTCGGCACTGCATGTAAGCCCGATGTACCCGTGGTAAAAGCTCCTGCTGGTGAGCCCGACACCCCTGGCATAGTAGATGCTGCTTGTAAGCCCGATGTTCCCGCAGTAAAAGCTCTTGCATATAAGCCTGATCCTCCCGGCAAAGTCGACGCTGCATGTAAGCCCGAGGTTCCCGCGGTAGAAGCTCCTGTCCGCCGAGGCATCGCCGGCACCGGGTTGATGGTCTCTTGATACTCATCGGCGTTCTCCTGAGCATGCTGTGCTGTCAGGTATCCTCCCAGCGCCTGCGGCGGCCCCCTTGGGTATTCATATCCTTCTTGTTCCTCAGGTCGAACTCCCATGGAGCTGCCACCTCTCAATCGCAGCACTTCCTGCCGCAAGCCGTCCGTCTGTCTGGACCACGGTCCCATCTCTTGTTCCAGTGAGCCAATCATCCTTCTTGACTGGCTCGGAGGGGATCCCATAGGAGATGGAGCCCATAACGATTGTCCTGGTTGGGCCCTCATCTCTTGGAAGAAGGCACCTAGGCGCTGCACCCACATCGGCACCGACCTGCCTGAGCAGCATTCTGCAAACCCTCAAACCTGGGCTGCTCGACGCCGGCTAGCACTTCCTGTTGCTGACTCACATGCGTCATCACTTGGCCTTCAGGCGGATGCCAGACTCAGGGGAGCCACCAGACGTAGTAGCCATCGCCACCGTCATCGCCCTCAAGGCATCCCCGGTATCCATAGCACCAAGGCCCGATACCTGATCGCCAACATCTTGGTTCTGAGCACCTGCAGTTCCTGAAGCATCGGCCACGGCCGTTGCGCCTGCGGTATTTGGGCTCATACCCTGTTGATCTTCAGCTGCTGGTACTGATGCTGGCAGGGCTTGCTTGTAGTCAGGTTCGTTCGGGGCTTCCATGGCACACACAGCGAATTGAGTCACTCAGTTTTTTCACACGCACAACGTCCGTATGCTAAGCTGCCACCTGAGTTGTACAAGGTGTGATGGCTGCTTGATACTTCTGAGGTTCATGACTCAAGGGGCATGATCGTAGCCCACCCTTAAGCCATCGCACAGCGCATGGAGGTCTTCCCCTTCGCTCCGAGGCCCCCACTGTAGGAGTCCACCTCGGTAGCGCATGGACGGGATTGTCCGGATTGGAGGAGTCCCCCTTCGGCCCGGGCCGGCATCAGCTCCGGCGAAGCGAGGATCAGCGGGCGCCTCAGAAACCCCCCCAACGGGGCCCCAACTCCCAACTCCCTCTCCCAAGCCCCGCCTGTTGCTGTCCCGCCACTTCGTCTCGAGCCGGAGATCCACGGCATTGCTCGGTGGTCTGCCTTGGTCGCAAGCTGAGCCACCACGCATCTTGCAGAGTCTCACAACGTACTGGGCGCCGGGCTCTGCCAAGAACCTCCAGGATTGCCTTGTTTCTCTTTGAACATCTTAACACATCTTCACGACACGTCACGGGATGCTTCATGCTGCTGGAGCCACACAACCTCTGTGCAGATCTGTTGCTGGCACTGACCGATGCCATGTCCACATCTGCTCCACAGTTCCTTGACTATCCCTATAGATCACAAGTGCATGGCTTTTCGACAACCGCCCCGGCCTGAAGTAGAGCTCCGCTACTGCATGGGCCTGGGTTCTGGGGTGCTGCGTGTTCCAACCCTTCTCTGTGTCGGTCGGCAACGCACAGAGGACATCACGCAGCAGCAGCTTCCGCCTGTGATCGCCAGATTTCACACATGTCGCCACGACTACAACGAAAGCGGCCTTCATCCGCTATTTGTGTCGGTGTGAAGCGGTAATAGTAGTAGCCGTTCACCTTCAGGAACTCAACAGCGCTGCAAAACATTGCAAGTGAAGCTCACGTTTGCCTGAGTTGTGGTACTGGTTGTGGTGGAACTTGAGGTGATCGAAACTGTTGCAGTGGATGTTGAAGTGACTGTCGCTGACGTGGACGAAGTCAAGCTTGTAATCCTGCCACGGGCACCCGGGCACCCGGTACCGAAGTTCGTGTCGCAAAAACCGGCCGAGGCTCGAACGTGGTGGTGCTGGTGCTCGTTGGTCCCAGATAAGTTGTCGTCTGCAGAAGCAAGCTGCTGCACTGCTGCACTGCTGCACTGCTGCGCTGTGTTTCGGGCATGAACCATGTTGACATCAAGTGGCAGATGATGTTACGGATGAGGTCAGGGTCGATGTCAGGGTCGTCCGCGTTCCGGTAGAGGTTGTCGTGGTCACCCAGGCCTTGGGCTTCGGGCTCCACAGACAAGGCGTCTTGCCGCTCAACTGACAGCCTGAACTCCCATGTCGAAGGCACACTGGTCAACCACCTGATGGCAAATCCATGCGATTCAAAAACAGCAGCATAGGCTACATTCCAAAGAAGCCAAGGACTGCCACGCACTTACGATCAGGAGGGCCACCAGGTTTCCCGGAGAGTCACGGCGAGGTTCGGAAAACACGAGAAACTGAGCACTCCTTCAGGTAGATCCACCTTCACTAGGTTCTGGCATGTGCTGGCTCCTGTGCTGGCCCAGTAATCGCGACCTTCCCATGTTTCAATTGTCAGTGGGCAGGTGTCAGCCACTGCAACATCGGTTGGGATTCTCGTAGCTTCGGTGACTCTCGGGTCAACGGCCCACATACCGCAATGTTGTAATGTGGCAAAGCCGCGGATGCAGACGACCAAAGCCCAAAAAGCCCAAAACAACCCTCTGTGCTTCAGGCAGGAAGTTCTGCTTGGGTGACGGTCTGCTCGCCCAGGCCGCAAAATCCGCAAAGACCTCCACCTCAGCAGTCGCGTTGACGCAATGCTGCGCTCTGCGGGCTCTTCGCTAACTCCCAAACTCCTCAGCTCCTTACAACTTGCAGAGCAGTTTTGCAGACCCGGACTCTGGCATGACACCTCGGGAGCAGGATCGGGATGGCACGGGATGGCCAGGCTGGGACCGGAGCTTCTGAAACTCCCCTCAAACACGCCCCACCAGAGCCCACCGAACGGCGCTTGGTCGCTGGCAGAACCGAAAGCTTTGTAACCCGTGGCATCAGGAAGGACTGCCTGGCGCGAAGGCGGAAGGCCACAAGACTCATGTATGCCCTTGCCCCCAGTGCCTCGTATCTGAAGGGGGTGTTCAGCAGATTGACCTGCCTCGCTGCGTCGCAACAGGTGTAGGAAACGCAAGTCTAAGCAAGTGCTTCTTTTCCTGCCGGGATGCATAGTGCCGCTGAACGGTGACCCACGACAGTCCGAGGCGAGACCCCAGGGCGCCCTCAGAGCTCAGAGCCTTCTCAGCTCTCGTCACTCGTGCACGCTTCATCTTAGGTGTGCGCGCTTCTGCGCCAGAAACATCCTCGGCTAAAGTTAGCCGTGAGGAGGCTGCCGAAGGTTGGCTTGGAACCGGACAGCGAAGGTTGTGTCAACCAAGCTCACGATCACCTCACATTCTGCGCTTCGAAGCTCCATCCCTACAGAGTGTGCTCTCAGAGGGTAACTCGCCGAAGCTCCCTTCCTTTCTCAGGCCCTGACAGATGCATCGCCCACTTGGGGATCTTGCAGGAGCTTCAGTTTCCGCCAGACCGTCTGGGCATCGTTCAGCCTCCAAAAAAGATGCACAAATGACGCTTCTTGCAAATGCTCCCTCGGCCACCTGGACCAGTTGTCCACCTCTGGTAGGTTCAGGTAGGACCTAGTTGAAGACGCCAAACACACAGTGTCGCCCTCTCCCTGGATTGTTCCAGAATTGGTGAAGCCTGCACCGTGCAGAGCTTGGGCGCCGGCGCACCGCTGTCGTAGAGCAGCCAATCGCCTAAGTCTATCCAAATTCGGTTCTGCCCAAATTCTCATTACGGATGAAAAGCAAGATGCATTGCCAAAACAGCCAGCAAAAACAAAAACTTCGTTGCACTGGTCTACGCACACCGCACGACCAACGGATCATAGGCAATTCCTAACAGCAACACCAAGATCAAGCTTTGTTGCCCGAGTGAAAATAATGCACTGAACAGTATGAAGACCCTTAGGCTGAGGTTGGCACTCGCAGTCGCATTGTCACATTGCGCACCGGTTAATGGAGCCTCAAGCGCCCAACAGCGCTGAGTGCTGCAAAACTGCGGACGGGACGATGTCTGCAGCTAGTATGTCCTGACAAAGGCACCATGACGTTCGTCTCAGGCCCCGGCCAGACAAGCGAAGGCTTTCAGAAACATAGGCAACATGTTACCTCAATACGTCTGGTGACGCATCACCCGTACCCGACGGACAAGAACACGGTGCCGAAGCCTGCGGTTGCGTGATGCGTACGGCAGCATCTTCTGTCGCTGTGAGCAGCTGCGCTTCGACAGCTCCTGACACACCCGCATTACGGTGTCCAAACACACTGTCCTGGACCAGTTGCCTTCGACAAAGCGGGGTTGGCCAGTCGCATCTTGCAGGTGCCTCACACGTCATGTCATCACTAGGATGCATGATAACACTTCATCCAACACGTGAAGCCGCCTTTGTACCACTTGTGCCAACCATGCCCTTGCCTTCCCCACAAGATGCACCTTGAGCCATGCAGGCAACCAACTGCCTTGATCGCGCTTGGCAAATTACCTCGAAACCACCATCAAAACCTGCGCAAATGCATCTTGGGATTCAAAACTGCTGGTCCAAGATTGTATGCTGATTTGACACCTGGCATAGACTGAAACTGGACAAGGCCGCTTCGCCTTATGCCGTCCTCGCAAAAAACTGCTTAAACAGTCACAGACTTTGTAACTTTGTAAATGTGCAAATCTAAAAATTCACTCCTTTTCCTGCTCGCAAAGGGCTGTAGTCCTTGCACGATTTGCGCGTGTCATCCCTGCAGGGGCCATTACTCGTGCCTTCAACTCTCATGACTGAATGCACAAGCAAATGCACTGCACACTGCATACTAGAGGGCCCTGATATACACTAACATGCCCCCTCAATTCACGATGTTCCACCCTGAACTGGAATCGGCCATCTAGCGCCGCTTCCGCTTGGGCTTCAAAAGGAAGATTGCGGCATTCCGCTCGCTCAGGGCGATGTGGTCATCGGCGCAGCACTGCTCGCACGGGTAGAGCCCAGCCTCCAAGGCCCTGCGTACGGTAGTGGCCTCTTTCCTTCTCGAGCTCCTTGTGTCATTGCCCTTTTGCACCGAACCAGAACCACAAGGTCTAGATCCACAGGGTTTTTTCGACAGAGTTGGCGTTTATAGACTTTTAAAAACTTTAAAATACAAACAAAATTCAAGACTTTTAAAAACTGTAAAATACTAAAAAACTTTTAAAAACTTTCAAAGACTTTAAAATACAGAAAAACTTTTCAGGACTTTTAAAAACGTTAAATACAAAAAAAAAATCAAAAAGTTTAAAACCTTTAAAATGCCAAAAAAACTTTTAAAGACTTTAAAAAATTTTAAAAAACAAAAAACTTTTAAAGACTTTTAAACACTTTAAAATACAATGAAAAACTTTGTTTTAGATTTTTAAATTTTGTTCCAGGAAGACGAAGATGAAGAAGACCTGGCACAGGGTTTTAAGTTTCAGGGTCTTTAGGGTTTGGGGTTAGAAGGCAGAGTGCCCTGGTATTAGGGTTTATAGCAAAGTTAAAAGTCAGCAATATATTTCTCATCTTCAAATATATTCGCGAATCAAATATCTTTGCGAATTCCATATATAGGAAATTGCAAAAGCGAACGAGTGAGATGTCGCTTCTTTTTATCAGCGCGAGCTGAAGCACGGGAGGTAAAAGTATGTGGCACGAGCAACCACGAGTGTGAACCGACTCCGAGTCGGCACGAGCAGAGCACAACGACTGAGAGTCGTAGATGCTTACCTCCCCCCCCGGAACAACGATCACAGGGTAGGGGAGGGTGGGACAAAAATTTTCCTTTCGGCTCTCTGAGAGCCGCGATGCTGCACACACACGAATAGATGTGCAACAAGCAGGAAAATTTTCCCAATGGTTGAAACATGAAAACTTGCTCGTTGAAACAACTGTAAACATTTGATTGAAAAATTGCTGACTTAGCGAAAACAAAGAGTTTTCGCAAATTAACTTCAGCTATAAAGCTTTGTCGTACAAGTACGAAAGCTTGCTTATAGCAAAGTTAAAAGTCAGCAATATATTTCTCATCTTCAAATATATTCGCGAATCAAATATCTTTGCGAATTCCATATATAGGAAATTGCAAAAGCGAACGAGTGAGATGTCGCTTCTTTTTATCAGCGCGAGCTGAAGCACGGGAGGTAAAAGTATGTGGCACGAGCAACCACGAGTGTGAACCGACTCCGAGTCGGCACGAGCAGAGCACAACGACTGAGAGTCGTAGATGCTTACCTCCCATGCATCTCATCTATGACTCGACGTCAGCGAGGAGAGTGCCTGAAACGAAGCATGCAGGACGATCCCTGGAATACGGCTCCAAGTAGGTCATCTCGGACCATTTTGCCCTCGAAGGGGCGTCCGCCAAGTTGCTGTGGCTGGGGACTCGCATGAACCACGAGAGACATGGTCCGGGCTCATCGGCAGCCTCAAAGTGTAACAAGAGTTCTCGCCAGTAAGGGTCAGTGGCAGACCCCGAGACGCATGCCCCCAGCACACCAGAATGGTCAATAAAGAAAAGTGTCCTCTTATTTGCAAGGTACTGCGACCATAGCGACCGAGCAAGGACTACAGCGAAAAGCTCTGTTTGCCCAATAAGGTGCCTCTTTTCAGAGGACCATTTGGACACAAGATCATCATTGACCTTACAGCCGAAAGTACGCACCTGTGGGTGTCGGCCCCGCACAATCAAAACTCCCCCGACTGTGGCCAAGTGACCTCCGCCTGCGGTTGGCTCGCATGCGCCGTCAGTGAAGACAAGGACAGGAGGCTCACCCGGGGAGGAAGAAAGAGACCTAGGGGCACCCCTAAGGAGCCTAGCCCTAAGAACCTTAAAAGCTTGCAGCTGGTCATCTCTCAGATCCACGAACTCCGACTTGCTGTGCTCAAGTTTGCGAACGTCCGCGACTGCCAGTCGCCCAGTTCTGCCGAGGATTTGGGCCTCAGCAAACTGGAGTCTGCCAAAGAGAGTCGGCAGAGTTCTGACCTCAACACGACCTGAAGAAATGATGCTGCCTAAAGCCTCGGAGAGCGTAGCAGCTCGATCCGGCTTATTACCGATCTTTACACTCGCAAGCGAATCATCGGAGGTATCCACAAGAACTCCAAGCATTTCTGTTACGGTGGCAAAAGGTTTCTCTTTGGGCTTTGCCATCTGAAATTGCAGGAGATCCATCAGCGAGTGAACAACGTGATCAGTCGACTGAGAGAGTAAAGTGGGGGCTGCAGCAGGATAATCGTCAAAGTAGCAGCTGGTCAGGACAAGGAGTTCCCACAGAAGCCTTTGGAGGAAGAGCGAAACTCTGTTGAATTGCAGCACCGACGCGGATGCGCCGAACGGCAATGTTTTGCACACGAAGCCACAAGCGGAGCCTCCTGGCTTCTTCAGGACGAGAACCGCCTTCGCTTGCTCGGACGGCCTCAGAGGCAGCTGCTTGTACACGGATTTAAGATCATAGGCTTTGGTCTGAGGCTTGGAGTGTGCCACGTCTTTCCAACAAGCGTGCACCGGACCACGAAGCCTAGTCCCATCGCTGAGCTCGAGATCAACGGATCCTGTGTATTTGCAAGCTTTCATGATATACATGCAAACCCATGCGACCTCGTCCAAGGCTTTGAGGGAGAGGCGCTCGAAGCATTCAAAGCATGCGTTGACCCCATTCTCACTGAAGTCATCGATGGGCCGCCACTTGCCCTGCCACACAGCGAATCTTCTGCAAGGCATCCAGCCTAGAGGAAAAATCGAGTCCACTTCTGCGCGAGAAAGCGGGCCGTGTAGCCACTGCTTCCCACTAGGGTCTGCCTCCTCAAGAGTGATGTCCCAAAGGGGCTCTGAGTATTCTTGAGGCGGTGCACTGTCTACTCGCTTCCACGTTGCGTCCCTTTGAGCAGACGCTGCCATCCAGAACTCGGACTCAGAAGAAATGGCTGGCTTACAGTCTGGCTCAAAGATGCCCGTCCGGGGTTGGGACCCGGTAAGCTTAAACCCCTGAGTAAGATCATCCCATAAGGTGGTGTCAGGCCAATTAAGGGAGGAGGCGATCTTTTTCATCAAGAGGACACGTTTGTTGCCTAGCACGGCTCGCACGTCAGGGTGAAGGCTTGCACGAAGTTTTTCCTCTTCGGGGCCAGCTCGGACGCCCACTTTTGCCAAAGCTTTATGACATTAAGCCGGTGTCTCATGACTCCAACTGGGCCCTGCACCAGGATAAAGTGAAGCACCTTAAGCATGCCATCTGGGAGACCGCGACATGTGTCGAAGGGATGCTTGAGGAGCTTGGCTTCTTTCAAGAAAGTGCTCGGCTCACGATACACTCCGAATGTAAATGATGTGAGCGAGGTATCTGGCAGATAGGGGCCAGGATGCGGCGGGCAATTCGGGCCCCCTGGAACACTGGACCGCAGCAGCTTGGAGCCTAGCGGCACGGATAGCCAAGAGGCCGTAAGGCATGTCTTATTGTTCAAAGGTGGAACGCGCGGAGCGCGGACCGACACAGTGTAGGCGAATCTCGGAGATCAACGGCGGGAATTTCGAGGCACGAGGTTGGGCCTGCGCGGCCGTGCGTGAAGCCGCTTGGGGTGCCAAGAAGAAGCCGCACGAGGCAGAGTGAGCTGCAACGTGTCCAACAAAGGCCTCACAAAAGGCTTTGGGGTAGCTGCCATCCATTCGGAAACCTGAGCCTGGAGGCTTGCCGTGGCTTACACAACCGGGGCAAAGGCCGCCCATTGACTGGAAAACATCTCGGTTGGTCACAAGGAGGGTCTTGCGATTGCAGAATGCACCGAAGAAGCATGCAGTCAGGGTGACTCGTGACAGAGAGCGTCGAAGCTGAGCAAAGGCTGGCAGCTCCCAAACGGCAGACCCGATGGGATGCTCTACAGAGACACCAACCGACGGAAATGATGCAAGGATTTTCTGAAGCAAAGTGGCAACGTTGTCGAAGATGGCGTTAGCCGCCAGCACGCGGGAGGCTCCGGGCTCTTGCAAGTTGGGCAGACCTCTGGGAGAGGCGAGGCTTCGAAAGACACGCCCAGTCGTACCAGTTGGCAGGGAGAAGTGTATCCAAGCGACAGCTCGATTCTGTAACACATTCTCTAGAAACTGAAGCGTGAGCGATTCTCGCAAGTCGAGGCGAAGCACATGTGCATACGCCCGGGGAACCTTGTGTCCTGCATCAATGGGCAGAATGTCGAACCCTGCCTCTCGAGCGACACTTGAAAGGAGGGCTGAGCCCGCGCATACCTCGATGAACAAAGGCTTCTCGAGCAGGTGCGCTTTTCTGGGCTCCTCAGCCAAGCGGACAAGCGAAGGCGAATGAGGGACATGATTGGCAGATGGCTCGGCACTCGCACGAGGAGGCGCCGCCATGAATCCATCCCCAGGAGATGCAATGCCTGTGTTTGGCTCTCGATCGACCTCTGGAGCCTCAGATGGGCCCGGACCCCTGTCGCAGGGGTCGGCACTGGCCGGCGGGCACAAATCGGAAGGGTTTGGGAGCTTAAACCCCAAAGAGGTTAGGGTCGCAAGCTTATCGCCATCAAGCTCAGTGAAGAACCTAATGCAGAAGGCAACCAAAACAACCCTTGAACCCTTCCACGGCAGAACGAAGTGTGTCAACTTGTCTGCACGGAACTTGACACAGTCGCCTACCCACTCCAGCGGGCCTCCGATTACTTCTTTGCCGTCTAGCACCTGCCTTTCGTCGCCATGCCCCTCAACCCACAGCTCGCCCCCTGAGAAGGTGCTCAAAGGGAAAACGTGATTCTCGCAAGAGTAGTTTTGTAGATCTCTATGTGGCGGTGCGGAGTCCTCGAATAGCACAGTGACTGTGCTGAAAGTGCACTCGGGGGCTTTCGCACGCACGAAGGCGGTGAGAGCAAGAGTCGCAAAAGGATGCAGGCCGCACGTCTTGCGTATGTTCACGGCTCCGCCATGCACGCATGCACCCGTGCTAAAGGACTTGGCAGCTTCATCTCTGGGAGAGGGGCTCATAGGCAGCATGCGTGCCAAAGCGAGCACGTCGTCCTTAGAGGGCAATCCTTTCGCGAGGATCGCAGCGGCAAAGGCCTCAGGCGAGCCAACCTGTGGCCCAGCATGTTTCGTCATCAATTCACTTCTCAGTTGCTCGAACTCAATCAAAAACTCGCTGTTGGGGCATGAACAAGCACTCTGCTGGGCATGCGAATAACTAATGTCCTGAACAAAGCTCGCACTCGAAATCTCACACAAAGAATCAAGAGAAGCTCGCACACGTTTGTGGGAAGCTTCTGGGACTGCCTCTGATGCAGTCGACAACGCCTTAGAGGCGAATTCTGTGCCCTCTTGTCGGGGCTCGGAAGCACGACAAGGATCGTTGGCACCCCGCTTGCAAGCCGTGACTAGTCACGACTGCTTTGCAGCTTTTGCCCTCTCGGGGCAATCAACCGCTGCATGGCTCTTGCCACACTTGGGCCAGGCGCATATGTGCAAGCCTTTGCTGCACCTCCCCCTGGTCACGACCTCTTGGCACGTTTTCAGGTTGAAGCCATAACAGATGCTTTCGCCGGCATTGGTATGCGAGCGACAACCTTCCAAGCCAGCGGGGAGTCTCGACGAAGCTCGAAACTTGCTCTTTCCTTTTCCCTTGCCCTTGCGCGTGGGCACCCAGTGATCGGTATTCACACCAGTGGGTGTGTAAGGACCTGGCCTGGTGTCCTTGATCTGTGGCGCATGCCCAGAAGGCCTGGGCATCGGCTGCAAGATATGCAGCACTTCTGGGGCCATCCATGTGTCTTCGAAAACGATGTCCAGTGGACGGCCACTGGGGGTGGCCTGAATGCCGGAGCGCGTTCTTTCAGCTAAGAGCTGAAACAGCTTCCTGTCTGCAAGCTGTAGCTGATTAAAAGTAGTCTGGACGTGTGTCTGAGGCACCTGGTCCAGGCGAGCACACAACAAACGCTCCACCCACTTTGCATGAAGACTGTAGTCAAGCAAGTTTCCCATTTCCATTGCGATTCCTCTCCGAGTAAGGGCGAACTGGAGCAACAACTCGGTGGTCGTCTCCGCCTTCGCGGATTCGCCCTTTTCCGTCTTCAGTCGGCCTGAAGCGTCCACTGACAAGACCGTCTCCTTTTTAGAGCTGCTGGTGACCTCCTGCTCTTTCGACGTGAGACGATCCCACTCAATGAAATGCAGACGATTCTGCTCGTAAAGCGCCACAAAGGCATCCACCAAGCTGTCGGACGGCTCCAACCGATTACGAATGTCCAACCCTGGCAGCCGCTTTGCGATCTTATTGTGCCGCTCTGCCCTTTCGGGCACACTGAGCCGACGAGGAGCCGACTCGTCGGTCTGCTCGACCATCGCCTTCATCTCAGCCGTCGTGACTGAGAAGGCCTCGTGGAAAAGCCGTCTGAATGCAGACTTCTGCCCCAGATCCGGATCGGCCCCCAGAGCATCCTTCAATGCACGAATCAACTCCGCATCGTCCCCCGAGCCTGGGGTGTAAGAGCAGCAGAAAGCCACCTTAGCAAGGGTCGTGATCCCTTGAGCCTTGAGCTTGGCGATATCGGCCTCCGCCAATCCAACCTTCAGGCATCGTGATGCAAAGACAGGCTCGGATTCAGAAAAGGAAGCCATGGCGGGAAACTTCGGCGCTCCAGCTCAGGAGCGATCCGGCCCTCACTTGAGGTGTGACTCGACGCGGGCGACGAGCTCAGCAATCTTGCTTACATTGTTCGTATTCAACGCGATGATTGGGCTCACCGCAACTTGCAGGACACTACTCCACTCAAGCTTGGACTTGCAGGGCTAGCGGACGCTCTTGCACGGCACGCTTTCTCTGGACGTATCTCGCAGCGATAATCTATGCTCAAAAAGGCCACCTGCCGCTCCGCGGTCATGTCTTGCAAAAGTACTTAGGCCTGCAGCATAGAGCGGAAACATTGCTTGCACCGAGGATACAAAACTCTTGGCATGTCAACCAAGTTCTCATATGCAGCCGTAATGGTGCGCCCACACTTGAAGGTAGTTCCACCTTCTTCTGCGAGCAAGTGCAAGACCCTAGATAAAGTGTGTCTATAAAACTGAGGGGACTCACCAAGCTTCGCCAAGTCGACTCTGCCATGCCAACGTCCCAGGGCCTCAGCTTCGGCAGCCTCGTCGAGCTCTCGGTCTGGGTGCTCCTCATCGGCACTGTCCTCCGAGCTAGACACCATGTCTCCTACTCCGCACTCATCTTCAGGGGCTGCTGCCGGCGCGGCAGCAGCATCGGCGTCCTGAAACTGCTCTCCTCTTGGAGCGTCCGGCCTGAAGGATCGCTGGCGAATCTTTCCAAGCACGGTGTCAAGGGACCTGAGTGGGGCCGCTTGGGAGTCTGACTCGTAAAGCAACTCCGTTCCAATGCCAGCACGAGGAGAAACATGGTATCCCAAAATGCACCTGACATCCCTAGGGATCCCCCATTTGCTGCACCAGCTCAATGTGGTCCGCTTACAAGAATGTGTCCCGATCGAAGTGGCCCTGAAGCCGGAAACCCCGAGGAGGCTCCTCAACCAATTGTTTGCTTGATCGCACGGGAGTGGGCTATCGCTCCAGGTTCCATGGCTCCGCGGAGCCGGGAGCAGAGGCCTGTTGTTCCCAGAAGTGATGCCTTCTGAGGCGAGGAGACCGAACCAGACTCGGCCCCAGCCGGAGCCCAGGATGCCCTCAGCATTTGCAGTGACAGGAAGGAGTCGCGTCTTCCTTTCCAGCGACATGCTGGATTTCGAGCGCGCAACCTCCGCCTCAAGGTACTTGCCACACGCAGAAAGCTTAAGTCGAGTGACACGCTGCCCATCGCTGTATCTAGCCCTGCCGAAAGTCAGAAACAAAAAGTAGCCAGCTGCAACGCGGTCAGGCTTACCTCTCTCTTCATCAAGAACTTGCTTTTCGAGCCTCTCAACCTCGGCAACAAGGAGCGGCTCCCTCTGGCACAGGGGTCTCTTATCCATGTAAGCTTTAGCCGATAGGCCGACAACCCTGCCCGACATGAGCACTGCATCGGCCGACCCTAGCCCGACCACAAACTTCGCGAAGCCAACCGAAGAAAGAAAACTCCTGAAGGCTGTGGGGGCCGCGGTTGCCGCGGTCGTCACGAAGTAGTGATGCACAACAGGCTCGGTGAGCGGCAAGGCAACAACACCTTGCTTCGTGGTCCACAAGATGAACCTGAGGAAGTGGTTGGCACGCGTATGCAAGGTACTGGATGCCTTGGTGGACATGCACTCCGCTATGCTATGCGAGAGAGAACCCGAGCTGAACCCCAAAGTCCTGGATTCAAAGTAGTTCCTGGCCACCATGAAGCACATGGGGGCCTTAAGCACTATCTGCAACCACTTGTTGATGGCAAGGTTGCGATCCTCGTCCTGGAGTTTCGGCCACGGCTTCTTGATGGCATCACCATATTTAATCATTTTTTCATGCAACTGGTCAAGCTTAAGTTTCTTACACTCAGGCTCACCGGGCTGAGAACCCGCTGCGATAGCATTCTCTTCGGCAAAGATAGTCAAAGGCATCGGGCCTTTCGGGCGTAATGGCTTCGGCGCGGACTCATGAGACAGCAACCCTGCCTCCCAAGGCTGCTTCCAAACTGATCTGTGCGAAGATGAGCATGACAGCAAATGCGACTCAAATGCATCTCCGGAAGCCATTGAGCCTATGCAGTAGCACTTGACCGAGGCTTTTCACCCCACTCACAAACCGAGGAAGAGGGGCTACGGATAAAAGAGACGCTCGAGGCGGCGGCGCGAAAGCACGGCCGACTGCAGGAGGTGTACCTGCACTCTGCGAGCCTCGCGATTGGCACAGAACAGGGGCCCTGAAGATTCGAAGCGAAGGCTGAGAAGTAAGAAGGAGCAAGACTGCGTAGCTCCTAGCAAAGCGGGGACGGAAGGATCCCGAATCTCGCTCTCCCAACCCCGCACTTCGAGGCCCTGCACCAATAGGAGCGTGACGAGGCGACGAGCAGGCACAGGCGGCTCGCCCCTCTCCATCCGACCCCCTCACCGAGGAGGGGTCTTATTTTCCAACGAAACTTCCGTTAGCGCGCGTTTGGGAAACCCTAACTGCGCTGCAGAGAGGACCCTGTGCAAAGCACTCTCTTTTTTCTCCTAGCGGACATGGGGGGTCGGTTCGGGCCCGATCTTCGGGCTCTGTCGAAACGATGCCACTGGCATTTCAAACCAAAACTCGACCGCTGGTCGGTGGTAAGGCGAACGACTGGTTCACCCCCCCCTACTAGGGAATAACCCGTACCACGGGGAGAGAAAGTGAAACATGCTAGGACCTACTGGGTCACTGCAGCTACTAGGTGCTACTCTGCATTTGCACGGCCTACGGCCTATATACAAAAACGCACTCTGTGCTGAAATCTCTCCGCGGGAGAGAGCATAGGAGCGCTGCTCCTGGCAGCTCTGCTGCCGAAGCGGTGTCCCGGACCCCGCATACTATACAGGGTGTGGTGGGTGGGACAAAAACTTTTTGGATCACAGATCCAACTCCAAGCCGAAAGCTGCACGGCAAAGTTTGTCTAGTGTCACTCACACACAAGTGAAAACACTGTTTTCCTTTTTCGACAAACTTTGTCTACACTTTCGGCGGAAAATAAAACCCATTCACGCACGCATGATGGATGCTTATTTTCCAACGAAACTTCCGTTAGCGCGCGTTTGGGAAACCCTAACTGCGCTGCAGAGAGGACCCTGTGCAAAGCACTCTCTTTTTTCTCCTAGCGGACATGGGGGGTCGGTTCGGGCCCGATCTTCGGGCTCTGTCGAAACGATGCCACTGGCATTTCAAACCAAAACTCGACCGCTGGTCGGTGGTAAGGCGAACGACTGGTTCACCCCCCTTGAAGGCACTCGAAGCCTTACTCACCCCCCATCTAGTCCGCGCCGAGTGACAAAGCCAACGACACTGCGTTGGGCGGCAAAAATTGGCGCTCTGCGCCAAGCCGTTGTGTCTCTTCCCACCAGTCTCTGCTGGGGCCATCAGCTATATTGCTGTCTGTGGGGACTCGAAAGAAAGCGGCCCTGCACTGCAGGGATTCTTCGAAGTCCACCGCTTGCGAAACTATCGCCGCTCCTTCCACCTTGCGTGTGAAGGCCTTGTGCAGGGAGGTACGCGCTGCGTCGTTGTCTATCCAGACGAACAGGTCGCTGCCTGCTATGTGCTTAGCCCACATTTGGAGGCTGAGCAAGTAGGGCAACAGCTCGCACTCGTAGACGAGCTGCTGCTTCTGAGCTCTGGCGGCCCACTGGGCTGTGACTTGGCTGCTGATCTGCAGCCCCCAGGTGAAGGCGATGCCTTCTCCGATGAGCACTGCTCCGAGGCCACACTTGGGCACGAGTCTCGGGGTCTCCCACTCGCAGGCCCCGTCGATGTACAGGTGCACTTTGCGGCGTGCATGGATGGACACTGTCCTGGGCGGTCCGTGCACGACTCTTTGCAGCAGGAACGCCATGGCTTGGCATTGCTGCTCTGTTAGGGGGACTTGCTCTGGTCCATCCCCAAGGACGTCGCCTACGCAGATCACTGCCATGCGAGTGTTACGACCCCAGGCTTGCTGCTCAGCGAAAATGAGCCTGCCGCGCAGGCTCTGCGCTTCCAAGGGGGACATGCTGCCGCGGGCGAGGGCCTCGCTGAGGACCAACCCCAGCTCTGCTGCACGGGTTGGCTTGTTGCTCACTGAGATTTCTCCGAGGTGCTGCTTGGACAAGTCCACTCGCACGCCTAGCACGTCAAAGACTTCGCTGAAGTCTGCGTTCTTTTTGGGCTCCGTGGCCACTTGCCAACCCAGCTTGTGAAAAAGGTTGGACACTGCCAACGTGACGAGCTTTGAATGCGCGCTGCGCGTAAGGACGGTGAAGTCGTCAAAGAAGCTTGTCATGACTAAAGCAAGCTTTTCGCGGCCGATGGCTTTGAGCGCTTCGCTGCAGCGGAGGAAAGCGTGCACGGCGGCCACTGCGCCGAAAGGCATGCTATGTAGGTGGGCGATTTTCACCTTCCCACTCTGTGGGTCCAGCATGACGATGCACGCGAATTTCTTGTGTGCGGCCTGCACTGCAAGCTGCTTGTAGGCACTCTTAAGGTCCCAGGTCCTGCCTACAATGCGGTGGGCCCGCTCTGCGGGAACACCTTGGCGAAGCCACTCCAGGCACACTGCAAGAAGCTCGTCGATGCTATCAACTTGGACCTTCTCTGTGGTCCCACAGCAGCTGTTAATGAAGCTGCTTTTGAAGTTATCAATGGGGCGCACTTTGCCCTTTTGAACGACGCCGAAGCGGGACGATACTATCGTCTCGTGCAGCTGCTCTGGCGAGAAGTCTTCCAAAGAAAGCCAGCCCTGCTGGCCTTCCTCCATAGTGCTTTCCCAGACCCTGTCCGAGATCCCGTCTTGCGAGGGGCGCAGAGCGCTGCGAACACCTCGCATACTGATGCTCTGGGCGTTCTCCAGTAGTGACTTCTCGTCTAGAGAAGGGGGCAGAATCTGCACTGGCCACAACCCACTCGGTTGTATCCAGCCAAGCAGGGGAAAGCCTTCTCGCACCTGCTGGGCCAAAGTCTTGTCCGGGAAGTCGATTTCGGTCAGAAGCTTTGCTAAAGCTACTGTCTGCTTAGGCTTGGTGACGCTGTTCACCTGAGCGTCAATCGACGAACGTACCGCGGTCTCGCGGGCTTGGCACTCTGTGCAAGTTCGAGAGATATGCATCGATGCCACCGTGCGGCGCTTGGCCAGCAGGACAGTGTCTTCATGGACTTCGGCGGCAATGGCTCGCTTAAGGGATAGAGGCACTGCATGCCTCGATGTCCCTGGCTGGGTGATCGATCAGATGCGCTCTGCGCACCCAGTGTAGAGGCTGCAGCGGGATGGCGATGATGGCTTTCTGGGAGGCTTCAATCCACTGGATGAGCCTTGAGCCTTTTGGGAAGCAGGTCCACGACTGTGGAAGCTTCTGAGGGGTCTTCCAGCCTCGAAAGCACCGCCCTGCGGGGCCTTGAAGAGTGACTTTGTCACTGAAGTCTGGCTCGTAGCGCAGACGACGCAGTCGCTTGCGACTGAGAGGCGCTGCCTGGAGTGCTGCTGCGCATTGGTCGGCCGCGAGGGAGACCCAGACGGAACTCAACTGAGTAGTGTAGGCGCTTTCTAGGGATGTGGACCACACTGTGGAACCATCCACCGAGGCTCTTCCCCACGGCAGGTGCTTGTGGCCTCCGTCGCAGTCTCTGCTCAGACCTGCGAACCAATCCAAGTTGGAGAGGATTGCGGTACGCTTGCGGCGCATGCTGCCGAACATGCACGCGTCAAACTCTACTCTGTGAGCTGACTGCAAGGCCTCTCTGAGGCAGGGCATCCTCCACAGGAGGCTACGAGCTGGATTTTCTATGGACCAGCAAACGCCGCGCTGAGACAGGGAGTGGCAACACTGTGCCATAAAAGCGACTAGGCTGTTCGCGCTGCGAACTCGCGCGGCGTCGGCCCCTTTGAGGCCTTTAAGGCCCGCTGGGCGCGCTTCGCTGCGCAAGGGGCCCGGAGCTCCCGGCCTGGGAATCTCTCTAGCTCTGCTAAAGGTGCCGCACGGCGGGGCCCAATGGACCCATCTCAAATCTTGGTGTGAGAGCACTGCTCTCAGCAAGTTGCGACCCAGCTGGGTGCAAAGGTCGAGCTGAAGGACCTTGAGGCCTCTGGCCTTGGTCCTGTGATCCACGGCGACATTCGAGAAGCCTTTCTCGATGGCTGCCTTACTAAGGCGACCGAGGCCGCAGAAAACTTCCACAAAAAGCGGCGGCCGAGGGGTCGCTTGCGAAGCCGGCTCGGGAAGAGGAACGCTCCGAGCGTTGTCTGCCAGCACGCTGTGCTGTTCGGACAAGAGGAGCACTGGGGGCTCGGCGTTCACCGCGGGCGCGGCGTCGTGCGACGGCGCAGCGGTGGCACGTCCTGGCTTACTTGTTGCAGGCGGGTGCAGCGGCGGTGCCGAGGCGAAAGGGTCAGGGCTCTGCCCTGAGCGAGGAGCGGTGGCGGAAGAGCCCAGCGCTGCTGGGAAAAGAGCTGCAGGCCCTGTGGCTGAGGGCTGTTGCGGCTCTGCCGCGCTCGGTGCAAGGGTGCCTAGTCAGGCGGCCCCTGCGTTCTTTGGGCAATCTGCGGCTCCGTGGTCGGTGCTGCCGCAGCTCATGCACTGGTGCAACCCCCTGTCGCACTGCTTGGGGGAGCCGGAGGTCTCGAGGTCGCACCCGCACTGCAGGTTGAAGCCGTAGCAGAGGCGCTTGCCGGACTTTGAAACACTGTTCAAGTGGCGAAGCTCTTTAGGCATGCTCGGCGGCCTGGAGCGGTCTGCGCTCTCGTGGCGCTTGCCCTTGCCCTTTCCGCGGCCTTTCTTGCCGCCTTTCTTACCTTTGCCGGTCGTGCTACGACTGCGGTCTTCTTCGCTGCGCGCCGAGCTGCGGCCCTTGCCCTTGCGACCCCTGTCCGCCACTGGCGAGGGGAGAAGGTGCAGCGTGACAATCGGATCGGACCACA